AGTGGTGGAAAGACAGTCTCTTGTTCATTGTGGAGAGAAATGTTTGTGTCTCCATAACTGACCACATTCCCGTGTATTTTATGGGAAAAGGGACCCAGGAAGGCACAGCAAAAGCAGTTCTACTGTAATTTTTTTGGCAGCAGAGCACTCTGGCTTGCCAGTTCCAGAGAAGTTCTGCAGATCCCACAGATCTCCCGACACAGCTCCTGTCATGAGCGTGTTCACATCATCATCATCTCCTCTTCCAGAGCTTGTAGGAACATCCACAGGTCTCTAAAATCACTACAGGCACTACTTGCTCTTAGAAGTGAGTGTTTCACCACACCCAGAAAGCTGAAGAAGCGGTTTTATGGCCCTTTGGGTGTTCTGAGCTCTTTAAGGAGGGAGTCTCAGTCATGGATGTAAATTGTTATTATGTCCAGCTGCCAGCAGTGTAAGATTGAGTTCCCTGCAAAATGCAGAAATACAAGAAGCAAGAAACAAAAATCTTATGAGGACCTCCCCTCAGCAAGACTATTTTGTTTTTAAAATGGGACTCTAAAGGGGTTGCTTCAGATGGAGGAGGCAAAATCTTCCACCAGGTGATGCAACCACAGTTTGTGATGGTGAGCAAAACAGGTTTAGGTAAAGGAGTAAAGCCAGGCTTTGTAATTCAGATCATCTCTGAGATGGGGAGGGATTCCTCTTCCCAAAGACCAGTGTCTATCCTTTGTGTAAGTGTCCCTTCAGACACTTTTGTACACTAAGATCTGCAAAGACATCTCAGCTGGTGCTGAGTTTTATTGGGCACATTAATCGAGCCTGAAAGTGTAATAAAGTTATAAGAGTTCTTAGCCATTTAGTGGATTAAATGAAGGTTCCATTTTAGGTGATTTTTGACCCCAGTGGAAGCTTAAACACCCAATTTGTATCTAAGACATGTTGATACCTAAATCTCCCCACATCTTTAACAAATTCCACCTCCCAACTCCCTCAGAAGCCGCTTCAAAGTGACAGAGTGGCTGAGGACTCAGGAGCTCCTGCCACAAATGGGTTTCTAGCAGGATCTCTGCGTGTTCTTCCCACAGCTGAAAGGGTAACTTGGCTAATTAGTTTAGCCTGGCAATTAACCAAGGCAGGAGCTCACTGTTCCAGCTTACCCATGCAGGGAGATGACTGCACTGGGTATTCACGAGCTGATGCGTGTGGAATTTCCCCCCTAAAGCAAACATCTGCACCCCAGCAATCCTCCCACTCTCCTTTTAGAGCTGCTGCAGAGGAGTGAGCCCTGAGGGACTGGTTATTCCATCCTCTCCAGGCACCTAAGTCGTGGTAGGGAAATTGCATTCCGTGATGTCTCTGATTGTGAAAATCACCTGGAATAATCTGTTCACATTTACATTCTTAATGGCTGGAATTAGGGGAGACAAGTGGTGCTACAGGGGTGGGAGATGAGCCCTCTCTGCAGTCAGGGGAGGAACTGGGATAATCAAAGGGAAAATTCTGGAAAAAAAGGGTACTCCTTTGGTGTTGAGGCCCTGGCACAGCTTGCCCAGAGAAGCTGTGGATGTTCCAGCCCTGGAAGTGTCCAAGGTCAGGTTGGACAGGACTTGGAACAACCTGGGGTGGTGGGAGATGTCCCTGCCCGTGGCAGGGGGCTTGGAATGAGGTGATTTTTAAGGTTCCTTCCAATCCAAACCATTCTAGGATTCTATCACTCTCTCTTTTAGACATAAAGCAAAGACCAGTGTACAGGAATCTGGAATTTCTTTGTTATTAAAAACAGCTCCCTCCTGTTTACCCCTGTTTTATTTTCTAGGCTCAACCTGTACCTAGGAGAAACACGGATTTTTTTTTCTTGCCCTTTATAAATGGAACAAGCTTAGCCTTAAACTGCATTTTAGTGAAAAAAAATCAGGGTTGTTCCACTCATCTTGCAAAAAAGAAAACAAAAAAACAACCAACCAAAAACCAAACCCACAAAACAAACCAGAAACGACTTGGAGATGAAAGGGCCAGAGGAAAAAGAATAATCCAAAGCATAAAACTCTTTCTGAGGACAGGAACAGCTGGTCTGCCAACTCTTTGGAGACTATTAATAGGAATGAAGATTGCATTGTGTGCCACTGGGAGAAGAAACTTCCCTGAGGTTGGAAAAAAGATCTTTCTTATTCCCAGATAAGATACCATGGAAATAGAGAGGGATTCCCAGATAAGATACCATGGAAATAGAGAGGGATTCGCTGACAGATTTGGCTTTTTGAAGTGGAAATACTACTACTACTACTAATAATAATGGAGTTTATTTTTTTAAAAGAGTCGAAATGATAGGATTGTGGTAGATTGGTAGAAATCAGATCTGGTTTTCAAGCTCCCAGGGTGTTTTAGGCACTGGGATGGAATTAAATGTGTAGGATATGCAGGACAGAACCCACCCAAATCAGAGGTCCCTGATTTCTGCCTACATTTCTGGGGTGTCCCAGGCCAAGTAACTGGGATTACATGGAATCAGAGCCCCAGGACACAGCAGGAATCAAATTTATCCAAGGAAACCAGGAAGGAGATAACACAACTGCAGTTCCAAAAGAACAGGAATTGGACAAATGATGCTCAGGCAGCTCTAATTCCATGTCTGATATTTAACTCCTTACCTTTTTAGCATCCCAAATCCAGCCCATTCCTTCTGTTGTTTCCTCAGCAATAAACCTTTTTTTAGACCCTCCTTTTTTAACCCCAGCAGAGTCTGGTTTTTAATTACAGTCCCACCGTGTTTCTCAGTGTTCCATCCAGCTCCTGAATTCTGCACTTCCAGTGATTGCACCTCCTCCCCACCCTCCCAGGGCTTTTTGTTTGGCACCTTTACTCACATTTATCAAAAGACTGCTTAGAAATGTCAATAAAATCACCTTTATCCCCTGGCTGATGGCTCCTACTGCCACCTGAGGGTGGTACACCCCACTTTTCTTGCCTGAGGAATTGCCTGTACAGGCACTCAGAGCAAAAGCAGCTGCATTTCAGATTTCTGCGATGAAAAAGCTTTATTCAGGTAACATATGGCATTGCCAACCCATCCTTATTTTTGATGAGTTATCCTATAAAAATTCTCGGAGGAAAAGGAAATAATGCTTACTTACAGGCAGCTTAGCAGGCAAGGAACTATTTTGGTGACAAAAAGCAGCAAAATGCATCTGAACTATGATTTCTTTCTGGCATTATTTCACTGTTGGATTTTTTTTTTTTTTTTTTGTACATACAGAGAAATAACAAAGAGTAGAATTGATGAAGCAAATTAATATGAAGAACAGAAATGAGGTTTTAGGCTAAATAAGGTTTTAGCTTATAAAATAATGTGTTTAAAAGAATGAAGGGCTCTAAGCAGGCTCAGACTTTAGCACAGGTGAGGTTTATCACATTAACTACGGTGAGAGGGTACAAAAAAACCCGACAAGAACAGGTTTTGTTTCCTTAACCCTTGTTTTGTGTTTACGGGGTGAGATCCCGAGAGCAATTTTGGTTTGAAACACGAGCAACCAAATTCCTGAGCAAGGTGAGCTGACTTTAAAAGCTGACCTGTTTGCAGGGGGGAGATTTTCATCTTCTCCCCATTATTATTCTGTTGCTCTGCCATCTCATATCCTCAAGCTGGCTGAATAACGCTCAGCAGGAGTTGTAAATTAACACAGAACAGAACCAAACTATTGACTGGTGAGAACTGGCCACAGCTTTAACTTCTCAGTTACAGATGAGGAAAACCATCAAAATCAGACTTCGAGTTATTATTATTTTATATTTTTTTAGGTTTTCAACTCTTCATTTTTAAAAAAAAAAAAAAAGATGATTTTTGAAGGTGCATTTGAGGTTTATCTGTGCAGGTAAGTGGTCAGATGCCATTGTGCACTAGTTAAGACAGACACAGAGAAAAGAGAAGGTTAAAGGAGGATTAGGTGATACATTTTATCCCCCAAAACCATCCCTTTGCCTTCTTTATTCTGTGCAGGTTGGAAAACCCTCTCTAACACGAGCCTGAGGATAACATTTTATTTTACAATCAAATTCCTTTGATTTCCATGACCAAGTCAGGGAAGATCTCGATGCCAAACACTCCCATTTCAGCATTTTACTCCAGCTCTCCCCCAATATGCAAGTTAAAATCTACAACCTGCAAGTTTCATGTACATTTACAGACAGAGCTGCACAAAAATGCATTTCCTCTGATGGTATTGGGTGGTTAATTTGAGGTGACTCAGCCAAACCCTGGATCTCCTCTGACTGTGCAGAACTCGTGTGCTTGACCCCAGTGGGAAATAATGACTGGTAAATGGGAACAGCACTTCAATCTCATCCAGAGAAAATGCTTTTGTCATGTCCACAATGTCACTTCTCCCAGGGCCTGAAATTGCTGGGTGCACTTCAAAAATTACTGTATTTTTGGGCCTCCCTTCCTTCCGGATAATCCGAGCTGCAGGCAAGAAAAGCTTTGGCTTTCTTAGCACCGAGAAATAAAGGTGTGTTCAAGGTTATCTTCATAACATAGGGGCCAAAATCACCTTCTGCAAATTATGGAGGAAATTATTTGACATTTCTAGTGGGGAGAGGAGGGCGATGCCGACCCAGCAACTCCACCCCTAAGAGCCCCCAGGGTTGGGGGGAGTCCCCAGGGAATCCCCACGCTGTCAGACCCACTCAAAACCCAGATCCTCGGAAAAGCGGCCCCACCAGCAGCAGGAGGGGTGAACTCATCACCTCTTTTCGCGCAGGGCATTTCTGCTTCCAAACTCACCCGCGGGTGTTGAGGTCCCCGCGATTTTGCGCGCGGGGGGCGGGTTCGTGCAGGGGGCAGGTTCGTGCAGGTGGCTCCTCCATCCCCGGGGGATGCTGGAGGATTTTCCCTGCTCTTCCAGCCGCTCGTGCGGGGGATGTGGCGCTGCCCCGGGAGGGATCGGGGGCTGCGGGGACGCGCGGGGCTCTCGGGGCGGGTCTCGGGCAGGTGTGGGCGGGCTGAGCCTCGCGTTTTTGGCAGCGTCGGAGCGGGAGGAGCCGGCGGCTGATGCAGAGGATGCGAAGTTTGGGCTGGACGCTGCTGCTGCTGCCTCTGGTGAGTGAGTGATGCTCCGAGGGAGGGGGGGGACCGAACATCTGGATGGCTCTGGAGATGCCCCCACAGCATCCAGCGGGGCTGGGGAGGGAAGTCTGCAGAGGCAAAGGAACTTTGCTCCCGGCAGGGAGCAGGGAGAGAGAAAGGAAAACAAGGCAAGGATTTAAAAATAAATAAATAAAATTAAATTAAAAAACAAGCAGGGGGATAAGAGGGGAGGAAAAAACCCCACCAACCATCCTTGATTTCGGGGTTTGACCCAACTCCTTCCATGAAAATTTTCCAGCCTCAAAATGCCGTTCATAAATGTCTTTTCCTTTCCATTCGTTAGAACTGCAGTCCCCAAAGGGCAGCAGAGCATCCCCAATTCAGACTAGAAGGGGGCAGCTCGCTGTCCCACTTGTCCTGAGAAAGGCAACTTGGCAGGAGGAGGAGGAGAAGTAGAAAGGAACAGTTCCTCCTGCTGGATTTGGGATCTTTGCCCCCCAGAGAGGGCAGGGATGTTTTCACTGCTGAAGGCAGCTGGTTGTGATATCACCAGGCAGGAGATCAGCAGGAATAGGCAGGAGATCAGCAGGAACAGGCTCCTGCCTGCTGAGCACTGAGGGCAGCAGGTGAGATGGTGACACTGGACATCAGGGAAGATGTGTGAGCACAGGGACACACTCCAGGCACATCCATCCCCCCTGATCTCCACCCTCTACCCCTGGCACTGCCTGGGCTGGTCAGGAAAAACCAGTGGAGGTACAGCACTCCCATCTCCTCTGTGCCCTCAACCCTCAGCCCCAGGAAGGCGTTGGGAAACCTTCCCCCGGGTGTGAATAGCAGGGACTGGGGAATTCCAACTGCAGTCATTTCCCGGCTGGTTGTTTGGCCTGGGCTGGGATTCAGGCTCCTGCTGGAGTCAGGAGGGAGACAGTCACCTTCCAGGGAGATATTTCATCCTGTCCTGAGAAAGGCAGAAGGAGTGAATGCCTCTCTAGGGCCTCCTGCTGCTGATTGTGAGAACCTGCGTGGTTGCAGATTGCTCTTGACCTTTCAGTTTTAAAAGGTGGAGGGTGGGATGTAAATGTTCATCCTGTACATCCTCTGGAGCTTGTTGTCTCTGTATTCACACAGATTTATGCACAAGGGATAAGTTACAGGTGTAATACTCTTTCTCAGGTTAAAACTAGTCAGCCTAAAGTGTCAGTGGCACCTGGACTGACCTTTTTACACCTGACAGAGGCACCACTTCTCCTGGCAGCTGTCAGCAGGGTGGAGCTGATGTGGAGGGATGTATCTGTGGGCTGCCACACGTCATTTTAAGGGGGCAGCATTATTGCAGCAGACTGTGCCCTTAAACAGAAGAAATTCTGTGAACTGCGTGCTCTGCTCAGACTATTTTCAGGTATGAACCCCAGTGACGTGGCTGGTGAGAGTCAGGGCTCTGAAAATCATCTCAAAATAGGTCTCATGGAAAGCTTTGCTCCTAAGGTAAATAGTCAGGGCAGACTCAGAGGACGTGCTGAGTAAACAGCCCTTTCCCATTCCAAAGGATCGCCTCAGAGCAGGGGAATAGTTCTTGTGTGGATTCTGCAAACAACCCGTGATTCATGTGTGAAAATTAAAGCAGAAGGTTAATCCTGCAAGCCTCCTCTGTGAGAGCAGGTGGTGTTACCTCCCCTCAGCCCCACGGGGAGCTGCGTGCTCAGGAGACACTTCGTGCCTTGCAGAATGGAGCCCTTGACGTCAAAAATCACCGTTTGCTCCTCGGTGACAAGGAGCAGGGAGCAGTGGGGGCTGAAACGCGGATAAAAATGACTTTTCCCGTCTTAAAAGAGTTCAGAGTGTCGGGAAACAGAGGGCGAGGAGCAGGGAAAACTCTGATTTCAGCGTTCTCCCTGAACTGCTTTGTTCTTCAAGCACCCGTGTCTGGGGGAGGAGTTGGGTCCGATTTAGTGAATGGAGGTGGGAATGGAAACACAGACGGGTCATCACTTGAGCTTTACATTTGGATGTGAGGAGGAATCAGCCCGTTCAGGTGGTTCTTTAACCTGCAGGGAGTTAATGGAGGGAGACCCAATCCTGTACAGGGAATCACTCTGTCCTGGAACAGAAAGGCAGGAGGAATCCTTCCCTGGATCTGCTTGTCTGCTCTCACCGATCGTTAAGGGAGGCTCGATGGGAGAGTTTAGATTAATCACCTAAAATTATCCATCTAAAATTAGGGCTCTTGTCTGAAGCTGCTCATTGAGCCTCTTTCAGTAACTGCTGGGGAGAGATGGAAATGCTCCAAAAATACAGATTATTCCAGTGAACTTGCTGGTGGACTTTGACTACCAGGTCTCAGCTCTTCGGGATCAGATGCCATGAATCCCACCTGTAGGCAATTATGGCACAGAAAAGGGAGATATTTTTCTTTAATTTACAGGAATACTTACAATAGCAGAAAATGAGGATCCTCTGTTATTATTCTGTTATTCTTCAGGCATTACTGATAATTAAATGCTCTACCAAAATTAGCATGGAGCTAATAAATCCATTTTTTTTTCCCAAGGTAATACTAGTTACACGGGTTTATAAACAAAATAAATGAGTGTGGCTGTGCTGTCTCATGAAAAATACTTATGAGTGAATAAATATAATGATATGGATATGTATGTACAGCAAGTGCTGTTCTGCATGAGGTTGTGCAGTTAAATACAGTCAGATAAATACACTCCAATACACAGAGGAGCATCCAAGCATTGCCTCACAATCGGGAAAAGATATCCCTCTAAATGACTGTGAGGCAATCAGTGCCTCAGCCTCTCTCGTTCTGCAGGAAATCGAGTTAAGAGGGAGAAAACAAACACGGCAAATCTCCTCTGGGCAGTCATTTACAGCCCAAAAGACTCCTGAAAGAATCAGTTGAACTGGTGGAAGAGAAAGATGGGAAATAAGCCTCTAAAAGCTTTGGGGTGGGAAACTTCTGGGATCGGGGCGGGAGAAAGATTTTTACTGAGGGACTGGAAATGTGGCTGGGAAATGGAGACGAGGCTCGTGGCTGCTCCCAGATCCCTCCAAAACACATCTGAAAATCGGCTTCGGTGCCCTGCGCTCCCCAGCTCAGGGCTTTTTAATCAGCATGTGGCTGTCTGAGGAGGGAGTCGAGCAGATGGGAGGAGAGAGGCCTCGGGGAGGATTTTGCTGGGGTATATTCAACAGACTGAGAATTTACGAAATAGGCTGAAGTTTTCTTTGCCTTTGTGAGTTATTCAACCTCCCTTCAAATTTTTTTTTTTCATCTTCCTCCATCCTATGAGCCTTTCCTGGCCAGCAAAACTTCACTTGGAAACATTCATGCCTTTCAGAGCATATCCTGATTTTCTGCCCCGTGTCTTTGGCATCACTGGCCAACTCTCAGGACTGATTGAATACTGAATTTCATGCTTGAAAACGGGCAGGGGGTGCTTTTTGTCTTTGCTGTGCTTTCCTGTAATTCTGAAATACCCAAGGGAGTTTTAACCCTCCAAGGTGGGAGTCAGTGTGGGACATTGATGGCAGGGGAATTGTGTGAGGGGGAGTTGAGATGTTCAGGCAGCAGAGTCTGATCCCAAAAACCGAAGAGGGGAAGCACAGAGAGAGAGAACTGGGATGAGAACGGGGATGATTTCAGAACATGACTGCGAGCTGCAGGCAGAGGCAGAGTGAGCAGCGATGAATATTCCCAGTAGGTGATTCCTGTGCCTGACACAAAACCTATTTGGGAGGTTTTAGGGAGGCTAAACTGGATCACTGGAAAGAGCCCTTCGAGTTCCTGAAACCTTCTCACCCTGCCAGCGAATTCAGCCACTTCTTTGAGTTTTGCTTGGTTTTCAAAAAGCCCGAGGGTTACCCATTTACCGCCGGCTCTTTGATCCCCTCGAGTGGCTTTTTCCAAGGTGAGAAAGTGCCCGGTTTTGAAGCTCTTTTTCAGTGCCCAGCTTTGAAGCTCTTCCCGTGTTTTCAGAGAGCATGGAAAACGTCCCCTGCTTTCCCCCAAGTGTGTTAATGGACTTCTGAATGAGTGAAGATCCGTCCTTTGGGTGACATCTGAATTACTGTTTTTTCCACCACCACAGCAGCTCAGGGGCACCATCTTTGGGAAAATTGCTTTTAACTAAATTTCACTGATCGTGGCGTGAAGATGTTGACAGAAAAAGTCTTCCCAGCGCTTGCTTAATCTCATATTGTTCAGCACAAGCTCGGAGCGCCATTAGTTTGATTTTTCTGGTCAGATTTGAGGAAAAAAATAAACTATTATGTAAACAGAGGAAGCAGAAAACAATGTCATGCTTACTCTCAGTGAATAAGCCTTTTAAGGTTTTAATGCAATAACCTTACAGATGTTAAAGAAATGAAGTCTAAAAGTAATGCAAGCCCGAAATCTGGATTTCTAAAAAGCAATCACACATCGCAGGCAAATTAGAGCCACAACCCGCCCTTTCCACTCCCGGCGCTGTGAGACTGATAACACAAAAAGAGCTAAGGCGTGGACAATAAATCACGAGTGATGTTCTACCCAGAAGGCTTTTCTTGAGCTATAAAATGGTTTAATGTCTTTCTTTTTCTTAAAGCCCGAGGAAAACCAGCAAATTGGAGCATCATCGCTGTTCTCAGTTTCTTGTGTATGTGTCATTTTTTTCTTTATTTCTTTTTATTTTCTTCGTTTTTTTAAATTTCTTTATTTTTCTCCTTTTTTTTTCTTTTTTCTTTATTTTCTTCTCTTTTTTCTTTATTTCTTTATTTTTCTCCGGTTTTCTTTTTTCCTTTTTCTTTAGTTTTTATTTTCTCTTTTTTCCTTTTTCTTCTTATTTTCTTCTCTTTTATATTTCTTTCTTTATTTTTCTCCTTTTTCTTTTTTCTTTTTTTCTTTATTTTTTTCTTTTTCTTTTTTCTTTTTTCTTTATTTTTCTTTTTCTTTTTCTTTTCCTATTTTCTTTTTTTTCTTTTTATTTTCCTCTCTTTTTTATTTCTTTATTTTTCCCCTTTTTTCTTTTTCCCTAAATTTTTTTGTTTTTCTTTTTTTCCTTATTTTAATTTTTTTCTTTTTTTCTTTATTTCTTTTTTCTGTCCAACCCTAGGATTACTCCTAGTCAAGCCTCATGATTATAAGTTAACACCACCAGGCTTATTTTCTCTTCTTCTGGCATAGCCTGTAGGTTCCATCTGCAGTTGCACTGGCTGGTGATTGCTGAAGTGCCACTAATATTTAATTTATGGGATAGCCTGGCCTGTACCAAGAACTCTGGGTGCTGTGGTTGTAATCATTCCCAGCACTTCTGGCATGAGGAGGGAGCTGATTTACCCCCCTCTACCCTGTGCTTGTTTCTCAATACCATTTCAAATGTCACGTTTTCGTTTCATTTTGGGTCAGGACTGCCCAGTGCTTTTAAGCCTTTCCCCAGAGGACTTGGTGTAGATGGTAAATTGTAGGGCACCGTGGTCAAGTTGTCGTGATTTTTAAACACCAAGCCTGAATAATCTTCCAAATACCAAGTTTATCAGGAGTGACAGGGTCCAGAAATTCCAGGAGGTAGAGGATGGATTTTTCCTGTCCAGCCAAATCCATATTTATGACCTGAAATAGTGAGAGATTCATGTAATAACCATTTTGTTACTCCTACTCAAATAATTTGATTGGTAAATAGGCAAACTGCAAGGGGAAATAGAAGTTTAAATATAAAGCAGTGAGCAGAGGGCCTATTAACACCTGAAAAATTTCATTTAAGAGCTCTCTTACTACAGTTGAAGAACAAGAAGTGCTATTTTAAGAGTCACTCATGCTGATTTACAAAATGTACTTCGAATTACCCACTGGAGGAACATAATGCATGAAAAAAGCCACGTCCTAACTTTCTTTTCAAACAGAGCCCTTAATCCTGTCTCTGTTCCAATATTAACATGTCTGAACCACCTCTTGGGCCTCAGAATTAAAAGTTAAGTCTGTCCATGCTACTTTCCAGTTAATTTTGTCCTAAACATGGTTGTGAAGAAACACTTGAGCCATCAAACAACGTTTTTGAGGCCTCAAATAGTGCTTTTGAGACCTCAAATAGTGCTTTTGAGACCTCAAACAATGCTTTTGGAGGGGCCTTAATCAGTCAGATAAATGTAATTCCTTACGCTTCAAAAAAAAAAATCATGAATATTTTTTTTTCATTTCTTCATCTGTTAAAATGGAATTTTCCCATCCTTAGACGTCATAACACAAGCCCTCAGCTACAAACTGGAAAGAAATCTGCTCTTTTCTGACTGATAACGACAAAACTTCCTGAGTTTTTTCTTTGTCTTTTCACCAAGGTCGGGGGAATCCATCCGGAATGCAGGATATTCCAGCAGGTGGTCAAAGAGGAGGCTCTGTGCCTGGAACAGAACCAATCTGCTTCCCCTGATCTCAAAGGTAACGGTTCTGATTATCAAACTCTTGGTTACCTTGGATATCTTTCCATGGGCACAATGACCGTTTGTTCCCCCGAGTCGAACCTAAATTCCTATTTTATTTGGTTTCTGAGCAGCTTGAAGTGCTTCTTTGTAGGCTGGGGTTTTGCCTCATCTCATTTTAGGCAAAAGAAACTTCCACAGAAGACACTGAAAAATGTGTTGGGATCAGATGGTGTTGGGAATCATTCACATGGTGAAAAAGTTCCTTAAGGGGGAAAAAAATAAAATAAAAAAAAAAATCCCAAGTTCTTCAAAATATTTATTTGTGCAGTATTTCCAATCACTAATGTTTCATATTCCTCTTGTAGTTCCTTGCTCTATTTTGGTGATATTCCACCCCACACACTTTAATCAAGCCCATAATATCTCTTGGACACATTTTACACTTGCAACACTCAATAATCCACCCAAAAAAGAAGTTCTGGCCCAAAGCAGGCATTTTCCAAAGTTCTCTGTTAGATGCATTCCGGGATGTCATTCCGAGCATCCTCCTCTGCAACACAAAAACAATGACAGGATTTTTGAACCCTCTTTGGAGCAAAGGTTGCTCAAGGACATAAAGATAAATAAATAAATAAATAAATAAATAAATAAAAATCTCTGCAGAGCTTTGGATCTAAAGCAGTTCCACACTGTTCTTGTTGGACAGGGCACTGCCTGATGAGTGGCAGCAGCAGCCAGAGGTGACTTGGACACCCACAACTCTCTTGAAAAACCTTGGCATGAACAATTCCCTTTTGGCTTCTGCACTCTGGGGTTTCTTTGATATAAACTGAAGAAGTCCCTGGAAATTAGGCCAAATTTAAGACTTAAAACATATAGGTTCCTTTATCACACAAGGGGCAGAATCTCATTTTTAACCCCACACTGCCAAATAAAGTAGGTTTTTAGAGCCAGCTCTTCAGATCTGTTTTGGTCCTTCCGAGAAGGACCACTTCAGTTGAGTCTATGTGTGTGGGCCACTTGCTTGTCTAAGAGGCATTGACATTCCCTGGCTTTAATAATTCCCAAATCAGCAGCCTGGTTTAGGGTATAATCATCAGCCAGAGCCAGGTATCTGCAGCCAGTGATTCACCCCGCCCTCGGAAAGCAGCCGCCGATATTTGGGATGAATCACGGGCTGGAAGTCGCTGCCTCTTTCTGCTGCTTCCAAAGGGAACAGAGCTAAGATTAGCTGGCATATTTTAGGCAATTAAAACTTCATAGTTAATGAAGCAAGGCCTCCATTTTGCCACCTGGTAAATTGGGGATACCAGGAATTGCATCCTTGCGAGAGGATCGTGTGAGGATAACGGTGTGGGAGGTGCTGAGGACTCTCCTTTAGGGAGCCAGAGAGCAGCTTAAATCATCTGCAGGTGAGTGATAATTCCTGCAGCTGAGGGCTGCAGAATGATGGGGTTTTTTTGTTATTTGTTCAGGCACATTTACATGCTGGTGATTTTTCTGTGCTGCCCCCACACCTGCTGGCCAACAGCTGCAAGTCTCAGTGTGACGCATCTGTGACCAACCTGGGATTAACCAAAACCTCGGAGAAAACCCTTTTTAGTGGGCTCATAACCAGCAGCATTCCCTGGGTCATCAACCAGCAGCCCCTGGTTTAGGGAACCTCATGGATGCTCCTATTCCCAGTGATGGGGTGAATCTCACCCTTGTTGAAATCCACTGAAAAAATACCATCGATTTCCTCATACTGCAACTTCACCCTTGTTTCCTTCAAGCCAGATAAAACTGATTTTTAGCATGGAATCAAGGGATTAAGGCTGAATTTCCAAGCCTGGTATTTTCCAGTCAAAACTCTGGAACCAGCGATGAGAAATCCCAGGTGTTGATAATTATTCAACCTTTTAATCGTGGTGACTTTTGTGCTGACAAGTGATCTGGCTTTCAGATTGTGCCTGCTTGAGTTTCAGGTGCATCCATCCTCTCGTGAGATAAGGTGGGAGGAATTCCAGCTGGAATGCCGAGTGCAAATCTCACGATGAAAGGTCAGCTGTTGGATGTTCTCCGTGTTTCTCTTTATTTAGGAACACTTTTTTTTCTTACAGGATGTGCCAGAGACTGGGATGGTTTAACCTGCTGGCCCAGAGCCACTTTTGGGGAAGTGGTGAAAATTCCCTGTCCACAGTTTGTCCAAGAATTCACCAATACCCATGGCAAGAGTTTTTTTTTCCTATTCTTTTTATCGCTATTTTTAAAAAAATTATTTTACTTTAAATACATTCTAATAGTTGAAGATTGCTACACATTTTCCTGATCCCCAGTGCTATCATAAATATCTCTCCAGATAAACATCTTGCTTTGTGTTATGCTGTACTGAACTGTCTCATCTCTTTGGTGGTCTAAAAATGATGGGTAATATCACTCTGTTGCTAAATTTATAAAGGAATATGTTTTAGAATCACTGATTTATAAACTCATAAAATAATGAATATTAGGAAGGACCCATTGAGGTCATCTGGTCCAATCCTTCAGTCAGAGCAGGGCCAAGTTTAACACTTGATTTCCAGTGCAGATCAGCTGGCTCAGGGCTTTGCCCACAGTCCCCAAATGGGTTGCATGTGTATAATTTGATTTCCTCCACATGAGGATTGAATTTGCAGGACTGATTTCCCACAGGAAATGTTCAAGTCCCACTGCATCTTGAAAGGAATTTCCAAATCTCCCAGTGACCTGTAGAATATTTTACCCCCACAGCTAAACTTGCTGGATAAGTCCCCGACTTAAGAATCAAAGCAGAAATAAGAAATTGTTGTTGCTCATCAAAACTTCAAGAACAGCAGCAGCAGCAGCACCACCCTCCCCAAATGAATTCCCTGCTCTGTTTTCCCTGGAAGGTTTCCTTCAGAGGAACTGCACCCAGGAGGAACGTTGGTCAGAGCCATTCCCCCCCTACACCGTTGCCTGTGGATTTGATGAAGGTGCCAGCAAAGGGCCTGAGGATCAGGTGGGTGGCAAGAAATACTTCCCTCTCCATCTAAACCTCTCCTCCTGTTGTTAATGAGTGAAGTCACGATTAGTTCACTTTTCCTGCCTTAAAAAAAGACTTTGGTTCTCTGCCAGAGGTGATTTTAATTCTCACCACGCACCCATCTCCCAGGGAAGCCCCACCAAGCTCTCTGCTGGGAATATTTCAGGGAAAATTCCTTTGTATTCCTCCAGCTGATTTTTTTTCCCCCCAGATTTTAAGTGAATCAGACAAAAATAGTCCCTAACTCTATAGCATGGTGGTCAAGGCACACCTTTGTGAGGGAATTCTTGGATGTCACTGAGGAGGGAACCCTGAGCAAGCAGGTCTAGGGGAAGGTGTCCCTATGTGTGGCAGATGGGTTGGAATGAGATGATCTTTGAAGGTCCCTCCCAACCCAAACCATTCTAGGAGATGATGATTTTATACTCCAGGTGTTCCTGGAGCAGGAAGCCAACCTCTTATTTTTCCTGTCTGATGACCATCACTGGCACTCAGTTAAGCCCCTGCAGAATTCCTTTCAAATCATCTCCATGTGATTTGAATTCCCATGAATTCCTCATCTCCCTGCTTGGCCCCAGGATGGGAACTCCTCACACTTTGCTGGTCCCTCACTGGTGAACTTCTGCTGGCTGAAGGTTGTTAATTAATTAATTAATTATTAACTAACAGAGAGGCTGCCTCTGCCTGGGAGTTCTAAAACCTCCAGCAAGAGAGACCAGGGATGTTCCATCCCCTCATTTCAATCTGCACTGGACAAGGTTCCTCTTGCACGAGCACAGGATGGGACACATCTCTGCCTCATCCCAAAAAACAGGATTGTAGGCATCCATGCAGTAGATACCAAAACTCAGGTCAGCAGAACAGATAAATATTCTGGGTAAAAATTTCAAAGTGTTTTTTGAAGGATCCAAATCAATATTTGGGTAGACCGTTGTATTCTAGGTGTCAAAAAGGCACATCAAATTCCAAAAAAAAACCAAAAAAAAAGGTGGAACAAACCAAAAAAACATGGTGTTTTATTTGCAGGTGGTTTGAAAATACGGCAAGAGTTTAAATTCGCCAAAGAAACATCTTCTTAATGCAATTTATTAATGCGTTTTTTTAATAGAGATTTTTTTTTTTTTTTTAATGTTTTGCTCTCAAAAAGTCATGTGAACAGTTCAGGAAAAAAGCCATTTATCAGAAGTCAAAGCAAGACCCAGAAACGTGGACAGAGTTGTCATCACTAACACTGAATATTATCTGCAATTACCCAGGCACACAAGCTCGAGCACAAACTAGTTCAGATATCTGAATCTTTGGGGAGCGTGGACACAATTTGCTTCATATAACAATAATAACAATTTAACTGGATGAACTTAGAACTTTAGAATGGCTGTAACAGGCAGGAAAGATATTTGGAGACCGATTCCCCACCTATAAATCAAGAATATTTGTACCTCTTGGCACTTTGGGGAAGCTGGAAAGATAAATGCTTGAAAAAAAACCCCTTAAAGAAATGCTAAAAATGCAACAAGCAGCTCTGTTTGCATTTCACCAGGATGGAAAATTTCGATCCAGAGGCCCTGGCTGTGCTCAGTTTGTTATTCCAGTCAAATCCCCCGGGTTTGACTGGGAAAGGAGGATGAGATCAGCAATCTCTGATGCATTGCAAACACAGGCAGGTAACAAGAATGCCAATTATCTTCCAAGAGAAGCACTTGCTTTGTGTTTTGGGTGTGCAGTGAGCACTTGGGATGTCCTCTGTATAAAATTGTTTTTTTTTTTTTTTAATCTATCCTGCAAAACCAGATTAAATGAATTGAAATATTTCATTATTCAATTGAAAAAACTGTTTTCCCATTTTTTTTTTTTTGTGTGTGTGTTTTGAAAATACCAAATAAAAGATCAGGACTGGATCACAAACACCAGATTGATTCTTGTCAGGGTCACATGATTTATTTATGAATCTGCTTAAAATTGCTAATCACTTGTCTCAGCCTAGAATTGCAGCCTTTTTGATGAACAGATCTTGGATCAATTAGGGAACAAAGTGTCCATTGCATTTGCAAGGAGGAAACTTGCCTGGATTCAGAGAATTCAGTTCCTTGGGATTGTAAATAATCAGGTGATTTTGTAGTCAATCAGAATAAAATTAAAGCCATGTAAATATGCTTCATTTTTCTCATGGTGTTTAAATTGAAAAGAAATGAACTGCAAAGAATTTCTCGTGTTACATTTTATAGCAGTGGAATGAACTGTTTGTCCAAACTGTGAGGTGATTTTCCTGGCTGTAACTTTCTCACCTCCACAGTATGATGGAACTCTTTCTTAGTGTTTCACTTCCCTCACCCACAAATTGCAGGTTTTATTTTCCCTTTTAGCCGTAGCTCTCAATGAAAATCGATGTTTATGGAGTCTGAAGTGATGGATCCACCGGGAGCTTTCAGGGCCCCAGAGTCTTTAGGCACCAACAGGAGAAAATGGAGTTACTTAAAAAAAAAAAAATTCAAATTTCCCTGTAGAACACGGTCAGAGGGGTCAGAGGAGCCTGTGGGCTGTGAAACCTCTCTCCTGTGTGAGGCTGGGCAGGATTTAAAGCCAAACCTGTCCCCTGCACTGGGCTGTGTCTCTTTTTCCCCCCAGAAATCCTATTATTCTGCGTTTTGGCGTGTCTACACCGCGGGCTACGCAGCGTCAGTGACTTCACTCGTTACGGCTCTGATTGTCTTTGCTGCCTTCAGGTAAATACAAATGGGCTCTTTTTCAGCAGTCTCATCCTAATTGCTATCAGATCCTCTGTGGTTTTGTTTTGTGTTTTTTTTTTTTTTTTTAGTTTTTATTTCCTAATCATTCTAAGATTGTTGATGGTGATGGGTCTTTCTCCGTTTGTGCTGTAATAGTTCCCTGCAGGTGTTAAAACATCTAAGCTGCCTGGGTAGTCTGATTTAGCCTCTTTAATGTCCCCAGACAGTGGAAGTGCCCAAACTTACCCCACTATTAGTGTAAGACAACAATTCCTTCAGCATATGGCAGCATGTACCCTGCAGAAACTGTGTCTCCTGGCCCTGAACCAGAGGTGATTCCAAACCGCCCATTCCCTCTGGGAAAAGATTCCAGAGCTGGGAGCTACAGAGAGAGCTTTAAATAAATCAAAAATTACATTTGATGATGATGATGATGATGATGATGGATTTTAGGAAACGGATCCTGGGGTGGGTTGGCATTGTCACAGGTCACATCTCAGGACCTTGAGGCTGAGATGCCCAAACCTTGAAGGAGATTCCTTCAGCTCAGGGTAGAGGTGTGGGCAGGGCAACCTGGGGAGATAGAATAGTGGAATCATTTTGGTTGGAAAAGGTGTTTAAAGTCCCCAAGTCCAACCATTAACCCATCACTGCCAAGGCCACCACCAAACCATGTCCTCAGGTGCTTTGGGAGGCACTGGCAGATTGAGTTTTGCTGAGACACCACGAGAGATTTCTGTCGAAGAACAATCTTTATTTTCTCTTTCCATGTCAGAAAATTCCACTGCACACGGAATTACATCCACATGCACCTGTTTGTCTCCTTTATCTTGAGAGCAATTGCTGTTTTCACCAAAGATGCTGTTTTGTTTGCAGATGAAACCATGGACCACTGCCTGATGTCAACGGTACTGAACCTCCCCTCTCCCTTATCCTTAATATTTCATTCTTGGGATTCCTAAATCCCATTTCTCTTTAGCTGGCTAGAGCTGAAACCTTAACACAAGCAACGCAAACGACCAAGTGTTATGGCTGCACTCAGCTTTGATAGCTGAGGTGCAGGTCTCTTATGCAGCTGCAACAATTTCTACCAGCAAAGAATTTAATCTGTGTAAAAAAACCGAGTATTTCCCTTAAAAAAAAAAATAAAAAAATCAAGTCAATTCAGTTTATGGAACCCCAAACCTACTGAGATATTGTTAGAATTTCTTCGTTCTTGCGTGGTAACACTGAATTTTGCACCTGCTTAGGGAGAAACCAGACCTGATGACAGCGGATTTATAATATTTTTCTCTGTCTGCACTTGCAGGTTGCCTGTAAGGCTGCTGTGGCATTTTTCCAGTTCAGTATTTTGGCCAATTTCTTCTGGCTTCTCATTGAAGGGATTTACCTGCAGACCCTGCTGCTGCTGACGTTTGTGTCCCACAGGCAGTTCGTGTGGGGCTTCGTGGTCACTGGCTGGGGTCAGTAGTCACTGGTTGGATCAGTAATCACTGGCTGGGGTCAGTCCTCCCTCCCTCTCTGGGTTATTTACCATTTCCCTTCGCTACCACAAAGAGATAAAATGTGGGTTTTGAGGCCAAAGGTGCCACCACTCTGAGGAAAGTTGCCCACTTATTCAGTGCTGTCACAAGAAAACCACATTTCACTGCACTGCCTTTCTTACCTTATTTACTTGTCCTCTTTATTTCTCTTATTTGGTTATCTCATTGGTTATTTACACCAATCACCACGGTGGTGATTTAATCCAGCCCTCAGGATGATGATTAATTTCTCTGGGTGACATCCTAGAGACACTCTGTCTTCCTGCACTGAATAAAGAAGTTTGGGGGACTAACTTAGGGTTGACAATTTTGCTTTTAGCAAACAGAACCTGATGGATAAATCTTAAATCATATGAATTCAGAACTAAGAACCAAACAGTTCTTTTTAGTTTTATTTTTAAAAGAACTCCTGGCACTACAAAATTTTTTTGAGGTTTTACAGCAATTAAAATTTTCTCTGGTTGTCAGAAGGGGAATGTGTAATACCTCAAATTTCTTTCACTGCAGAGAGTTGTTTCTATGACTTTCAGATATTCCTGTGCCTCACCTGGGCTATTTTAAAATAGAGGCACCCAGATTAAGCAGGCACAATGACTTTTTTTTTGCCTTAGCAGTGGAATCCAAATTATCCCCAAGTAAATATTAATTTATCCCTTATATTGATATTCTCAGACTTTATGGAGTGTAATTAAATTTTTTTTTTGAGCTGTTCCAAATAGGAGTGTCTGAAATCAGACTCTCAGACTTTGCTTAATCAGGGCCAAATTGAGATAACAAAGGAAACAACTCAATTAATAACTCAGCAATCCTCATTTCCCTCTGGAATCAATGGGGGAACTCAGATTTTTGGTAATATGGATGCAGATATTTCTCTTCATTAATTAAACAGACAACTTGAACTGAACTTGGTCTCGGCTTGAAGGGCTTGAACAAAGGGCTAAAATTTAGAAGAACGTCTTCTAAGCCTTTCTTACAGCTCTCAAATGGTATTTAGAAAGATGTTCCCTTTATTTCTGGGGATTTATCAGTGAAAATGTCACCTGTTTCAGATTAGAGTCCCTTTTTTTCTACCCCTTGAAAGTCACTTGGTTTTTGGAAATTCAATCCCACAGGAAGAGAGCAAAAGCAATTTCCACTTTATGGGCCTTCTTAAAACCAAATCAGTCAGAAATGCAGAAGGACAAGCAGTAAAAAGTGGGACTAGAAATCACCAGTTGCTGGATTTAATTAAATCTTCAAGGAATTCTTATCAGCTGGTGAGTCCAGAGCAATTAACAGAGGCTCCTTAGGACAAAAAAGTCAATTTTTCCACAAAAAGTTGGATAAAAGAGCTCCAGGTAAATAAATGGTTACTCCTGCCTCACAAATAATTCCTGAGCAAACCTAAAGTTATTCTGAACATTTACTTTGGAAAAATGCAGTTTCACAGCACTCCTTATTCTCCTTTGCTTTTTTTTTTTTTAATTAAATCCTCCTGCCCTTTTATTCCTTCCCCCCCCCCCCGAGCTGTAAATTGAGTTCTTTCATAAAGTAATTTAAAATTATATGACCCATCACTTGCCCTTTAAACATCCAACCTGCTGGAAGGTGAACCTGCTTGGATTAAACTCTCCATGGGATATAGAATTCCAAACAATTCTTGTGTTCCATGCTGTTTTTTTCCAGGAGCTCCTGCTGCTGTGCTGTTGGCTTGGGTGCTCACCAGAATCCACCAACAAAACACTGGGTGAGTCAGAGCTTGGAAAAGGAAGAAGTACTTAAAAAAAGAGAGGTATTTAAAAAAAAAAAAAAAAAAAAAAGAAAACCCCCACATATTCCCAAAGTTCTGCTTCTAATCTTTACACTTCATGTGGTAGTCAGTGAGAAAATGGTTTGAATTCTTCTGATTTTGATGTTTGTGTGTGGGATAATAAAACCTTGGTAATAACTGCTGAAATTTGGTTTAGTTCCCTAATGGCCAGTCCTGAAATGATTGTATTTGAAGAAAACGTGTTATTTATATAATTTTATGTAATTATATATAAGAAAAGTATAATAATATATAATCTTGATATAATTATATATAAGAAAATTATTATATTTTAGAGAAATCCACTGCTTCTGTTTAAAATCAGCCATAAATGACTCACCCTAATCTTTGCAAATAAGAACCTCCCAAACAAACACATCACGTCCCATTAATTTGTTTCCATTTAATGATTTGGTTTTTAGTCTATTCTCATCTTTTAATCTGAGAGCCAGATATAAATATTGTGTATTAAAGCTGTCCTGAGGGTGTCCAGGTCATTTCACAAGGATAATCCACTGGAAAAGAAACTCTTTACCACTTCCCTGCTCAGAACTCGGATGGAGAGCAGGGAGAAAAGCAGCAAAGAAGCCTGAAAAATACAAATTTCTTGGGTTTCCTTTGTTCCTTCAACTTCTGCTTCATCCAGAATAAATTCCCTTTAAACTGATTTACACAGAGATTTCAGGGAGGGCACCAGTGCTGGCAGGGAATTTAGGCAGGGGTTTCAACTTTTCTTTTCTGGGACAGAAGAGATTTTTTTGTGTCGGGAAAGCTCCCAGGGGACAGATAAAGTGACAGGTTTTGCTTGTGCTTTCAGGTGTTGGGACGATGATGAAAACGGAGTGGTGTTGTGGATCATCAAGGGCCCCATCCTGATAACTGTATTAGTATGTTATTTATTTAATTAATTATTTAATTATTTTTTTATTTTTATTTTCCCTTTACTATCTGTATATTGGTCATTTTACTTGGTATATTTTAGAAGTAATTTTATCTGGTTTTTTGTGTTTGGTTTTTGTTTGTTTGTTTGTTTGTTTTTAAATAAGTTCTTAGGTGTAAACTTGATATAAAAAAGTCTTCCATACCCATCCATTTACACACCCTAAATTCAGGGAGGGAGTCCTATGTCAATCAGGTTTATTATCTGTTATAACCCCTGTCCCAAATAAGGAAGGGAACAGGAGGGACTGTTTAGACCCTGTTAGATCTGGTAGGTGCTGGCATTAAGAAAAACAGGGCATTAATATAAATAAAACAATGAGATAGAGATAATTCAACACAATTTTCACCATTTTACGTATAAATATGTGTGGGTGGGGAAAATAATTGCTATTTACGATGCTGTTGATTTGGCCTGAGGACAGATCTGCTCAGGTTTATGGCTCTGCACTCCCTCTGACTGGGGATTTTCAGTGATTTGTACCAGCTGAAGGGACCCACAATAAATTTACAGCTTTTGCCTTGTCTTTTCAGATTAACTTTATTATATTCATGAATGTGATCAGGATTCTGGTCCATAAACTCAAATCTCAGGAGGGAGGAGGGAGCCACTTGAGCCACTTCGTGTGAGTGTTTCTGGGTTTCTTCATATTGACCTGTTCTGTTATGAGAAACATTTTCTGGGCACCAGCACAAAATGTTCTACTCTTCTTCTAATAGAGAGAGAAACTCCCAGGAGAAATAACAATGTGAATGTTCCTTTTCATCCCAAATATCACCTCTCTCTCTTTCTTCAGGGGAAAAAGGGGGGGGTGGGTGGGTTGGGGACAATGAGAAGAGCAAACCAGAAAGTTTTTACAGCTGTAAAAGGAGCCAGATTGAAAGTGTAAACACTAAATGTCAGGTCCACAAGTGGTCACATGGGGAAAGATGCGGATTTAAGTTAAATTTCCTTTGGATTCTTAGCAGCAGCATGATGATGATGTTCTGGTTACCATATTTATGAACCAGTTCGAGATTAATTGGGATCTTTCCATAAATTCCCTGGTGTAGCTGCCTCCATTCTGGATTAAAACATCCTCCAACATCTAATTCCATGTTTCTAACACTGCCTTGTTTTTTAACCCCTGGTTTTGCAGGAGACTTGCTAAATCCACCTTGCTTTTAATCCCCCTCTTTGGAGTTCACTACGTCGTATTTGCGTTTTTCCCGGAGAGCACCGGGCTGGAAGCTCGTCTGTACATCGAGCTGGGCTTGGGTTCCTTCCAGGTAACATGGAAAAAAAGGTTTAACAAGGTTTAATCTGTGCCACCACCCCCTCAGCTTGGTCATTACAGCAGGTTTCACCAGCCAACCAAATCCAACACACACACGTTCCATCTTCCTCCTTCATCAACCCTTCTGGTTTTCTTCCCTTATTATTATTTGAAATCTCATTTTACTTTTGAATCCTGAGTCAGATTTCATGTTAATAATTACAGAATAACAATATATTGGATAACAAGAATAAACTGAATAACAGGAGCCCCTTGAAGATCAGTTTATGGATGGAGGTGCAGTGATTGAAAATGATTTCACTAATATTAAAAATAAGGATAGGGGGAATGGACAAACAAGGAGAATACATAACAACCTTCTCTGCCTTTACCCCTCAGGAGTGGTGAATCATGTCAGTGTTTCATGGTTTATTTTGCTACGCTGCCAGTCAGAAAAATGTCGTGGATTTGAGGGGGAATGGTACACTCTGTAATAAGTTTAATTATTGTAAATGTAGATTAGAAGAAGGCAGATGCCCCTACTCCCTTATCTGAAGGAGAAGTTGTTTGCAGGATACCATAAACAGCAAATCAGTCCCTACTGTCTCCTTACAAGGGCAATAATATACATATAATATCACTAGTCCCTTGAGGAATTTAATTCTATTATGAAAGCTCAATAAACAGTGCCACATCACCCCACTTCCAACAGAAAAAAATGGAATATATTTTTTGCCATCTATCTTAAATTGTCAGTGAAACTTGCTGTCTGTCACAGATTCTATGCTTGAAATCCTGATTATTGGCTTTTTTCCTCCCTCCCCTCCCTGCTCCAGGGTTTTGTTGTCGCTCTCCTCTATTGCTTCTCCAATGCAGAGGTGAGTAACGAGCACGTGAGATCATCCAAACCTTCAAAGCCCAGGGACCTCTCTGTTTTTTAATTTCATCTCTTATTTCCAGAGCAGATCAGTGCTTTGATCTGCTGCTGAAAGCCTGGCGTGCCCAGAGCTTTCCTTTTCCCTCTGTAATTTCGTTCCTTTATTTATGTTCCCCCAGCGCTGCCAGGGGGACACAAACGGCCTTTGGAGCCGTGACCTTCCACAGACCCTTCTTGGCTTCCTTGCCAGGGATTGGGCTCCTACTTTGTGTCTGATGCCTGTCACAGTGGTGTCTCCATGGAAAGCTTGTGATGTTCCATACTTTCTTTAAGTTTATTGTTTCTCAGTGAGTTCCTTTCTTTCCCCTTTTCCCCTTTTCCCCTTTTCCCCTTTT